AGCAGGTTTTAATTTTTTTTTGCATCGAATATTCGTTTCATTTTTTATTTGCGTATTCATATTGGTTTGACGGCTAGAATGGAGGTTAGTTCTACAGTTTCACAACTCTTGGGCCCCTTCTGCGTGCACTTTGCATTTCCTGGCGACATTGTGTGAATTATCTCCTGGTGCTCCGGTCTCCTTCAGAAAAACGATGGTTAGACTAATTAGCATGTCTCTGGGTGCCTGGGTGTGTGCCCTCTGTTCAGTCTAAAGTGTAATCCAATTTGGGTTCCGATATAGCCTTAATCTGGAGTGAATGGCTTTTCGATCATGAAAAGATGTTTGCCTATTTGAAAGGTTTGAAGAATCGTCCTCAGATTTTCAGGGACCTGCAAATACTTGTATACGCTTTCCCGCTTCGGCATTCTTAAACCAATTTGTGAACTCTTTGATACACAGAACCAGAAACTCGATTTTAGGATTAGATATCCAAACATCCAATGTATGCCAAGAAAATCTAGAAATTGTTTTTATACTAATGTCCCCTTTTGGGTCCGTAACAAAAACACAAATCGCTTCCAGTGTTTAGATAAAGGGAGAAAAAGAGTAGAGTGGAGAACGTGCTCAGAAATACAATTTACTTTAGTAATGTCAGTAAATCTTAAAATTCGAAGCTAAACGTTGGGATCAAAGATATCGTAACACATACATTATATTCCCTATCCATCCCAACATCTATCATCAAGTATACTTTTCGAGTCTTAAAAACACGGACTGGAGTACATTTTCCTTCCGTGGCATCTATAGAATAACGAAATCTTTGCTTTCTTGGCCGAATTACTTTAAACACAAGGCCCTGCTTTTTCGAAAAGGTCGAGTAGCAAACGTTAGAATATACAGACGACCCAACGGCCTATGAAGATACTCTGCGTGCTAGTCGCATATGCATTTATCTAAGCGGGAAAAGCATCTTTCTGCATGTCTTGTAAATAAGGTGGAATGTCTCCAGTATGATATCTGGTTCGGTCTGTCTGCCAATCTGCAATCTAACTAATTGTGTTTAGAAAACAGTGAACTTCCTTTCCCTTTGAACGCAGCAAAAGGCAATCAGTGAAACCTATGAGCATTCTAGCGCGACCCCATGACTGAATGAAATTACTCACCAGAATCATTTATTCAAAATATCATAAAGCGGGACAAAAAAAAACTTTTATTTGATGGACATTTTCAGATACTGCGGACAATTAGAATGAAAATAAACATTCATTAGATGGCGAAAGCCCCCACCCGTTGTTTTTTTAATACATTTTTGAAGTGAATTTAACTGTTTCGATTTTGGTTGTCCCTTTTAATCCCCAAACTGAATATTTTACCATCTTCTGCACCGTACCGTTCCAGCTGCAATTAACCGTTATCTTTCGGTATTAGTGTTTCATGTTCAACCTTATATTTTATTTGCTAAAACTTTAGTTTAACGACTTATTAAGGAATATCTCGGCTATCAGTGTAACAATTACAGTTCCATTTGTTACTAGACTGGTGCTATGCCTCTCTCACTCCCCAACTCGCCCAAACACACATTATGTTCAGTAAGAGTGAAAGTCGAGGGCAGCCCATGTTGTCCTGCTGATGTGAGGGAAGGTGTCCAAAGTTTGTTCAGGAAATCTGCGCCATTTCCACTTGGCTCTAGACACGACGGCTATTCCGGACTTGAATTTGCGTAGGAGGGTTAAAAATAACCGAGGTATAAAAGCAGGGACACGAGTCCTGGAACTCCATCCCATTCCAGAAAAATCTCTTCTTGGTACACAGGACTAGGGAGGTCCCATTTATAGAGAGGGAACAACCGAAAACGAATTTAATAGCTTAAAAAGTAGCCTACATAAATTGTTGTTAACATTAAGTGGAACGTATTACAGTACATTCGATTTTTGTACAACACAGCCTTAAAGCGCAAATGATTAATTTTAAAACAGTTACAAACGAATAAAACTCCTATATATACAGGAAAAGCGTCAGAATCACAATTTCCATGGTAAATGGAATGTCATCATATTGCCAAAGTACAGAATACAATAGAAGACCGTATTTCAGCAAATTGTAAAACAAGTGGAATGTATATAGAAGGTTGGGTAAAAATAAAATTATGAATGACGACGAGGTATCGAAAATAATTTCAAAGAAACAGATCAGTAAAAAAAAAAAAATGAATGTGGTAGTTTTCCCCAACAAAATAATTCCTTAAAAGATGAAAGGGTAGAAAGGGTATAAAATATTGAAAGGAATAAGAGGGACAGCTTTAAAGTGACTCTTCTGTTAGATAACATACGTTTTCCTCTGAATGTTTCAGTTTCGCAAAACTATTTTCCGTTGATGCTGTTTTGGTATAACTGCCAACGGTGCGCCCCTAATAATCTCCAGGCCAGTTTCCAGGTACAGTAGGCACATTTTATTGCTCGAACTCCGAATGCCCCTTGAACCCTCTGCCTGTTGTTTTTTCCAAGGGGGAAAATAATGTCACACGACGATAACAATTGTTAATTTTCGTGTTCAAGCAGTCTTTAAATGTGTTTTAACCATAAACATTATTATTATTTTTATTATTATTATTATTATTATTATTATTATTATTATTATTATTATTAGCGATTGCAGACCACTCAGGATGATTTTAAACTATGTTTCCAACAGATTTGTCTGAAGCGCATCATTATTAATTTTAGTGGTCAATTTACTTATGCACATTCATTACACAGATTATATTGATTTTATATGTCAAATGTTTTATAAGGGCATCACAGACATTTCTATTTCGGTGCGATTTTCGGGTGAGCTAAAGTTGCTGACTTCAGGCTCATTCTTTGTGACTGTAAAATAAAGAGGAAAAAAAAACAATCTTTTACTTAAGAATTGAATATCCTCCGGCCATCTTCTCGTTTAAGCTAACTGACTGCAGCGTGCTAAAAGATAAAGCAAATCTTTTCTAATCTTTTATATTGCAATTGTAACTATTGTTATTAAAAATGCAGGTGAAATGGGTTGTTTTTGTTCTCCGGGACGACAAGATCATTAATAAAACCATTGCTGTTAGCATGTAAACTGACACCGTCTAATGGCCCAGTTGCGTGAAACCTATATGCAGTATTCAAACGTTAAGAAAGAATTATTACCTAACAAATTCAGGCACACGTCACTCAATTTTTTCGGTTTTTTACCTTGAATCCACAATTACCGCAATCACTCATCGCCACAAGCACATATGAATACAAATACGATTAGCCTAGGGATTTTGGTGTTTTATATTATATATATATATTTTTTAAAAGTTAGATTGAAACCTCATGAGCGTCCATACACGGGTCTGAATGTTGGAGAACAGTGGGAAGATCATCTGTATAATTTGAATGAAAACCTCGAAATAAGACAATTCTGGGCAGTCCGCTCATGATGTGTTATCTTTGCGATTGTTCAGGTGATCATATGATCTGTTTTACCGATTACAATCCATATTTACAGGGTACTCCGTCCTTACCCATTGTTTTTCCAGTGATTTACTGAGGTGCTGTGAAATATATTGTCGTATAATTTCAGGAGATACCTGAAAGCCAGAGGATGCTTTGATGAACACCCTGAAACTCCACTTTTCCCCCGTGAAATAATGGGGACACATTTTCCCCAAATTCAAACTGACGAAGTTCCGTAGCGCCCCCTAATGTTTCCCATTGATTAAAAACTAAACCCGACGAATTGATGCATTTTTATTCGAGGCTATAGACACATTTTCAAAGACGCGCTCTCTGAAGCAACTAAGAATGAAACGTTGTTCTCTTTATTTTCACAGAGAAGTGCTTAAACTTTAATTTGTTTTTAATAGTTAGGGTCGATAAAACACTGTAATTATATAAGGGGACGAAATATCTCCTTTTAGTCCCGTTTTTGGCACAAAATGTCATGTTTCTATATATTGTTAGCTTTAAAACCAAATATTAGATACCGAATTAAACTTCAGGCTCGGCCGACGTTCGGCTACACAGCTGCGTTTATTTTCTTGGAGTAGTGTTCAGACTGAAGCAAGCAAGCCAACCATAAAAAAGTTAGAATTCCGAGATAAGCACCTTATCATTTATTGACAAATTGAACAGGCGAACAAGATTATATATGGCAAATGATTGCTTAGTCAAGCACGTTTAGCACACAGAGAAGAGATATTCCATTAATAATAATGCTTTATTCACTTTATGGAAATACTAGGGAAAGATGTGATAGGAATTAATTTTATAAACAGAGAACAGTCTATTTTTGTTTAAAAACAAATCCTTAAAACACAGATTCATATCGTTTACCTACAAACGTTTTGTTCGATGCATGTCTTTAAAAATCTATGAGGATTTATTCATTTACTAGTTTGATAACGTTTTCAACAGAAGCAGGTTTGGAGTTCCATTTATCGTCTGATCTCTGATATTTACTAAATAAAACAATAAAGTAAAAGCAGAATAATATAAAACTGTAATCACTAGATCCTGGGCAAAACGCCGTAAACAAGTGTTTTTTTAAATATATATTGCATTTAACGAAGCGTTTACCAGTGCATTTTATCTTTATAGCACAGAGGAAAACAAGAAAAGTGTTAACCTTTTATGCAGAGCAAAATAAAAACAATGCCTAGGAACGATTTATAAAATCCGATTTTTGAAACGGAATTATTCATTTTCAAATGATTTGTATAATATACATTGTGCACCACCTTTTGTGGTATTTAAAATACTGAATTAAGGAGAATCAGTAACTTTGATTAAGCTTAAAAACGTATAACATTTACGTTGTATTTGCCCCTTTTGAAAGTATGCTGTAAATATACACGGAGAACAATTGCTGAAACGTCACGTTTTACTACAGTAGTTTGTCGCAGGTACAAGGGGTGTCGCCTATCAAGCATACACGCCCATTAATGGTACGAGCCAATCATATACACAGTGACCAAGTATAACAGGCTCGCACTTGAAAAAGTTGAGTAAAGAGTTTGGTGTGTGGCGCTTTGCTCAAGAGTTCGGCATTGCTGGGAAGGTGGAAAAAAAATCATTTGACTTTATCAAACGGAGGGGAGTTTAGCCTGCAGTCGACCAATATCTCCCCATGGCTCTGGCGGATGCCATGCTACCGTCGATTGCTACTTTTGCAAATCATCGAAGTCTGGAGGAAAGACAGTCTGAAATAGTACATGTAAGTGTTTTTAAGTATTATTTGTGTCATTAAATTACATCACGAACGAGTACTAGTTATTGTCATAGGGTAAATTCATGTCTTCGATCTGTTGAGTTCATTTCTAAAGTCTTCTTTCAATCTGATTGACAGACTACGCTATGTTCCTGCAAAGTGTCTAATACAATGTATAGCACACACATTGGTCCAGACTCACTTGCTTAACAAATCTCATTTGATCGATTAAGATGTTTCAAGTCTTCAGAGGCTGGTAATTTGACTGTGATCTGGAAAGCCTGGCAGACTGGCGCTCAGGACGGTACTAAACTTGTCTAAAATGTCAGCAGCGAAGCGCAGCAAAGAAAACAACTTGCAGTGCAGGTTTTTAAGTTGGGTGCGTTAGGTATTGAGGTATTTGAATAAAGCATTTAACCTAAGGGGAGGATTTGCATTATAGTTTCTGTATGGAATTAAAACCCCCTTTGTTGTTTATGCGCAGCGATGGAAAGTCGATGAAAATGAATCCTGTGGCACCGGTAACGAGGTCAGACCCCATATCGCTGTCGAGTACAGCGTTGTCGAGTCCCCACCGATGAACAAGGAAGAAGACGACCTGGCCAGATTCTTGGATTTGGAGTTTATACTGTCCAATACCATCAGTTCCGAAACCGGGAGCAGCTCCGTCAACACCTCGGGATATCCGCTGCCGGAGACACCGGAGAGCTGCAGCACAGTGTACGACAGCGACGGTTCGCACCCCACGCCCAGCAGCTACGGCACCGGCCGCTTTTCTGAGAGCCCGAACCGAAGCCTGATGGCTGAGCTCTTAACCCCAGAGCTGAATTACCAAGGGCCTTGCGAAATACAACAGGACTACTGCATGAAGCCCGCCCTGGAGAGAAGGGAGTACACTGAGCTGAGAACGCCCAGCCTGGGGAATCCTATCCACCTACCTGTGGACAACGTGCACCACATGGGACATAAAATTAAAACCGAGAGCCTCGAGCAGTCGTGTATGATGGCAGCTGACTGTATGGGCCCGATGTATGACCACAAACCCGCTCTGCGCGCCCCGCACCCCCACCACCAGGCTGCGCTCCAGGGATTCGTGCAGCACAGGACACCTCACAGCGCGCCCCGAGAGGAGATTGGGCGAAAGGACTGCCACATCCCCGAGATGCATTCACACCACCACCCCCACATGGCCCACCAGCAGCAGTTCATGGGCCACTCCTCTTACCCACCCCAGTACGTCCCGCACCAAGGCGCGCCGCAGTTTCACGGACAGTACAGCGTGTTCAGGGAGCCCATGCGGGTTCACCACCCCGGCGTGTATGGCACCATGTTGACCCCGCCGTCCTCGCCTCTCCTGGATTTCTTCGCGCCCGTGGGCGCTCCCGAAGACTGCAAGCCCAAGCGAGGCCGCAGGTCCTGGGCGAGGAAGCGCACGGCGACTCACAGCTGCGAGTACCCGGGCTGTGGCAAAACCTACACCAAAAGCTCTCACCTGAAAGCTCACATGAGAACGCATACAGGTACGGTGCATTTTGCTATCCATGCCGTTGACCCATTTCTCGCAATAGAAATATAATATCGGACTTATCATTTTGTCCTTATTTGGGAATGTGGAGGGAGGGGGGTATATCTTAATTCACGCGATTGAATTTTAATAATCTTGGTGTTGCGTTTTGCTTAATCCTAGGTGAAAAACCGTATCACTGCAACTGGGATGGTTGTGGGTGGAAATTCGCAAGATCCGACGAGCTGACTCGCCATTACAGGAAACATACCGGACACAGGCCGTTTCAGTGCCACCTGTGCGAGAGAGCGTTCTCCCGGTCTGATCATCTGGCGCTGCACATGAAGCGACACATGTAAAACAAAAAAAGACAGATCTTGAACTTTCACCGAAATCCTTGTTTAACTGAGATAAAGGAAATGTATTTATGGAAGCTATTTGAGTAGGAACCATTCTTTAACTTGTATATAAATAAATTCGTCGCTAAATTAACACAGTATTTAAGGGGGGACAAGACCTGTTAAGCTTTTGCGAGGAGTCTTCCAGTATAAATTATTTAAAACAATTTATGAAGACATAAAAATAGAGAAAATACAGTGGTCACTCTAAGGCAGTTTTCACATAACAGGGCGGGACCCCGTTGTATAGTTTTGTATATAGACTTGCAAGTCATTTTACTGTTTATATTTTATTTCCCGGCTGTTTCAGCCGCCTGCTTTGCTTCGTGTCAGGGAACAGGAAGGAAGACGCGATGGCTTTGTAATAATTCTTAAGACTGGGGATTTGCCTTTGAAAGCTAAAATGTGTTGCCTGCCGGGTCTCTACAGTTCTGTATATTGCATTTTATTAAATATTTGCTTGTATTTCAACTGCCTGTTTTTTGTTTGATGTTGAAGGTTTTCAGTCTTTTAAGGACTGCCAAATCAGGTACTGTCAGACTGCCTTTTAATGAAGTCGTAAACTTTAAAAGTATGCTAGATAAACTGTACCATTACTATACTTGAAATCATTCTAGCAAATGCTATTAACCACCTGTTAACTGGTCTTGCATAGTTCTCAAAAAGTAACTTTCAATTTGTAGATACCAAACAAACGTAATGACTCACTTTAAAAGTGCAATATGTGTTGTGTATATTTTCATGTATTTACTGACTTGATGCTTTTTTGTATAGCAGATAAAAAATATCCAAAGAAGTGAAATGTTTTGCAAAGAGAGGTATATGTTAAAGTGTTTTATGGAAAAATAAAACTGAAATCCTAAAAATATTAGATTTGGTTCATGTTTCTTTGTGTCGGGCTTTCAAAGGGTGGATTTTCTGAAAAGTGCAGCAGTTATATAATGCTATTTTACAAAGGATTTACATTTGCTTGTGAAAATGCTTTTGTAAAAAATGAAAGCATTTTTTCAAGATATCCCTACTGCTAAGGGATCATTTGGGTGTGGCATTTATTATACACACGTATATACAAAATATACACAAATATACAAAATAGACACAAATGCTTGTGATATTTACATATCTGTGTTGACTACACAGTAAACATGTACAGTAAATACAATAATGTACAGTAAAGCACAGTAAAGCTAATCAATTTCATATTAAAATAATCTAGATAAATTGAATTCTGGTACCATATATAATACTTGGTACTTTTTGGTACTGTGTTTTATAGTTTTGCACCATGGTGAAGGTGTGGTGGACTTTTCTGTCCTCAAAGCTTGGAACAAAGCCTGTGTCAGAGAATTCTGGAAAAGTTAATTTAGTGGAATGCTAACTAACTAAAAGTTTGTCCAATAATAGCCCAGAATCTGGGTGAGTTTAGATGAATAATATCTGGAGTTGAGGTATATGGTCCAACAATGATTCCTATTTTTCTGCTTCAATTATCTTTATTGTGAAGAGAACTGCGTTTTGATGCAAATGTTACATTACATGATGCATACATTCTAGAAAGAGAGACTGAGCCTGGCCCCACCCACAAAGTCATCAAAACCTTGTGTGTGTCACAGGCATGCGCCAAGCCCACAGATCAAGACAGCAAATCTTGTCCATGAGATATGTAAGCACCTTTTTTTTTCACTTAAGTAAGGTACAGCCTAACTAATGTCTGCAATCAGTCTTGTGTCAGTTTTGTTATGACTGGTTTCTGCATATCTTCTTTGAATTGCACTGGCTCCTGCAAGTTAGTGTGGCAGCACTGCATTTGCAACAAAATCGAGGCTACATTTGAACAAATCATCGTGCTTTCAAGATCATTGCTATGATAACTGAAGTATTTAGAAGCCATGAACCTGAGGTGTACTTCTCTCTATCTGCGATTATTACTAATTTATTTAAACCACAACCGTCCAGTAACAAGTCAGGAAACCTAACCTCTGCTCCTCGCAAATTCTTCCTTCATAACCAGCAATGGCCAATCACTTTACAATAGAGCCATCAGTGAACCTAGAGACATCAGTAGATTAAAGTGTCATTGCTCCTCGGTTTTGTATAGTGGTGTCATACGTAGAAGGTGTTACCCTAGCCCTGTAGGACTAACACTTGATACAATAATGATACTGGTGTCATTCACTGTAAAAATAGCACCGTAATAGTGCCGTAAAATGAATCATTTGATATTTAATACCGCATCGATTGACAAGACTTCATTAAGGAGTCAAAATCAATAATCCTTGAAAATGTACATAACTCGTGTCACTCGAACTGAGCAAACTAGCAGGTGTCATTATCTTATCTGAGCGACGCGCGTCTTGCACAACTTAAACACTGCTCCGAAGACGCTGGTAAATGCAAAAGGTATTGTTTTTTTTATATCCCTCATTTAATTTATCAGTTGATTATAAGTATGCGGTAATTCATCAAAGGAAGTGCATCGAAGAAAGCGGGACCATCTAAGAAAGGAAAACGGGTTACAAGTGTGTGATCGTGCTCTTGCATGAACGACTACATGCCAGCTTTGTCTACACTAAAACCAGCGTTGTTTTTACTCTCACTTGAAGGAATTTACAACTGCTGTCACATTCAAAACTGATCTCGTAATTCGAACAAAGACGTGGATTTTGATTTACCTGGTGAATGGTAACACCTTCGCTTAAGAGCGCGGAAGAGTGCATTGACGGATCATTGGTCTATGGATTAGGACACTTAGAACCGTGGGGTTATTAACGAGAAGTAGGATCTGCATTTGACGTTGTTCCAAGGAGTTCTAATGTATTATCACTTATCAAACAGGCCGTTCTTTTCAAGGAATTGGCGTTTAATCTCCCAAGGGGGCGGGTGAGCAAGATCCAGGTTTTGTGTCTGGTTCTTCATTATCTATTCGTGCAGCACGCAACACGGCCAAGTATTTTAAAGCTCAGTGTGAGTTTGCAGTTTCGCTCAGGGGTGAGACAGCTTCTTGTGTGAGCGAGTGGCGCCCCCTTCAGGCAAACCTGCAAGTGTCCTGCAAGACCCCGCCACCCCAACATCAAGGGGTTTGAAACCAAACAGCATTTATCTATCCATACAGTACTTGTTTGTAAGGAACAAGTAATAGGCTTATTCCCTACTGAAAAGAGAAGAAAGAAAACACAACGTTTCCTTTCTTCTCTTTTCAGCATGGAATAAACCTATTACTCGTTCCGTTGCAGCCTACGCATGCTGATGCAACTACCCACCTGAAAAACTAGATTATAATATTCTTTCTAGGCACCTGTAACGAGCTTATCACTGAAGTTGCAAAAATAGAGTCAAATTATAAAATAAACCCTTGACTAATTTCCAGACTTATGTACTGTATACCTTTAACTTATGGTAGGGGTAAGGTATGCACGCTATTTTGATTAATAAAAATAACGTTTTCTATATAATTCATTATATTTTTAAAGTCACTTTCAATCTTATCTGCAGAATATCAATGCCCAGTATTTCATTATAGATTCTTGTAACCAGATTCAAGTTAGTTTATAAATGAGATCTGGCTTTTATATCCAGTAACATATTATCAGAAGAAGAATGTTATACTGGAGTTTTCTGCAATTCAACGATTAATCGTGTAAGACAGTCCGAATCGTTGATTTGCAGAGAGGATGGTAATCATTAAAGCTCTCACTTCTCCATATTAGTGCTCAGTTACCGCACTGTTCAGCTCTGACGAGGACATCAGAGTGGGCCTTCGGTTTTAGGACGACTTTCAAAGCTTTTTGCACCAGGGGAGAACTTTTCAAAAGTCCGAAATAAAATAAAAAAATATATTTCTCAATTCACACACTTGGTCTTTTGCTTATTTTCTCCTTAAAAACGTGAAGAATGATTTCAAGAAAGTGGTGAGTTCATAATTGTTACTGCTGTTCTGCATTGGGTCGTTGAGCAAATCGGGGAAGATTTCCGTAGCTGTTACTACTAGTAACAGCTACGTAATTAAATACATAATCAGTACAGGAGCCATTTGGGGTTACACCCACAACCAGAAGACCAGAGAAAGTTTAAACCACTAGGCGAGCACGGCAGACAGTGTTGCGCGACTCAAGTTACCCACGACATTTATCGTCGTCATTTTAAAGTCAAAATCCGCAATCCTGCTCATCTAATCTTTTCTTTCCTCCTCCCGCTGTGTTTATATGCCGTGTTCCTTCAAGCTAAATGTCTCTAAGGTCTGCAATAACGTTCAGAAGCGTGGTGGCGGCGCCGGACAATTTTAAATGTTCACCTCAGGCACGATCCTCTGCTTTTATTATCCGGTATGCTTCATTGTTCTTCAACCCATTTGATATGTCAAGACAGACTCGCGATTAATCGTTTTCGTGTACTGTGGTGTAGCTGTGCACTGTACAGTATGTCCCGACATTTCGAATCGCCCAAAGCAGCTCTCTTCCAAGCAAGCAATCGCAGGAGTTGTGTGTAGCGCAATGGTCTGGAGGAGAGTTATCTGTAACAGCGCGTCATCTCCAATGCACGGTTAGTGTTATCTCTGAGGGATACCCAGAAGCCCCGTAAAGGCTTAAACGCGGTATGAAAAGCGTAAAGGGAGGTTTTCTTTATAGAGGAGAGGAGTTTATTGCCATATGTCACGTACATTGGAATTCGTATGCGCGCCGACCTCCCAGGACACGCACAGTTACAGCAGACGACGCAGTACAACAGACAACACCACACAAGGCAGACAGTGCATTACAAATAGTACATAATACTTAATAACAACCAGTAATAATAAATAGGATGTAGAGAACAATAAATATGCGAAAGTGGAAAAAAAAAACCATGGTAGTCCACGCAACACATACATTGAGTTCTGAGGCAGTTAGCAGTTAGCAGTTAAGGAAACGCGCAGAAGTAGGGTAGAAGCTGTGTCATTTGACATCCTTGTGAGAAAACATCTGTTTCGTGGCACCTCTCTTCCTCTCACTGTAAAGTCCAGTAACGTCTGCAATGCGGTTTTATAGAGGAAATATGGAGGAATATGGGGAACGTGTTGCCTTGCAAGTGGAAAGACACGAAGTCAAAGACTTCAAACTTTCGTTATATACCGCTCTGTACCACACGGGGTCAGCCTTTCACTATTCTATCACTTGGACTCTATACTCGCGTCACGGTTCTAATAATTCGTTGTATTAGTTGCACCTTTCAACCCGAAGAATCACCAAGTGCTTCAGGTGGTATGCAATAGCGAAGCGCAGCACATAAATTCTGCACCAGACGCCCCGCTCCACAGAGGCTGTAGGCGAGAAGTGGGAAATGGACTAAGCGGAGAAATGTAGGTGGAGTAAATTGTTCAGGCTCCGGGTGGAGTTTAGCCAAGATCATTTCAACACCCTACTCATACTGGCACAGTATGGAAAGTGCCTCGGCATTTTCAATAACCAAACTGTCAGGAACTCTTTCCGTACAAAAACAGTTGTTGGCTATGGTTTGGAGATCCTAGATCAGGGGGAAGAGTGCCATCTACTGGCCCAACAAAACCACGAACAGCAGCAAACGCTGTTATGAACGATCCCGCTCCAAATACATCAAATATATAAGCACATTCCTGTGGAAGTTAATTGAAAATGTTTTCCTCAGAAGGAGTGACTTTTTACTTGAGGGAAAGCAGCTGGTGTGATAGGCCTAATGCGGATTAGCCACACCTCTGGGCGAATTAAAATGTTTATAAGAGCTGTTAGGAGGGAAAGGAGTTCGGTTTATGTCTAGACTCCAGGCTTGTAAAGTAAAAGGAGAATAAGAACTGCCTTGTGGAGTGTGGGAAAGTAATCATTAGTCATGGGTAGAGCTGGTTTACAGGCCTGTGAG